GACCAAGTGTTACAGGCTCTATGAACACCCTTAGTCTTAAAGTTTGCAAGAGAATCCAATACAAACTAGCTTTGTTCACTGCTCAGCACTGTGGTAGTGATCTCCTCCCAGGTAGAGACTGCTACACAGTAGACCACATCGTGCTCTGTGAAACTGGTCTGTTCCTGGCAGAGGCACGCAAGTGGATGAGAGTTTTTTGAGGATTCTAGATTCCTGGAGCCTAGCCATTGTGCAAGAACTAAAATTACTCTTCACAAGGGAAAACAATACGATCTGGACAATATAGACACAATGTCGCCTGTACAGTCAAAAATGTCTAGGCTTGCAAAGGAACAGAAACAAACCACCTGGGTCAAAAGAAATCAGCTAAGAGGAACTGATGAGGAGATACCTCGGATGTTAGATTTCAAGTACAAAGATTATATATCAACAACTATTGTGGAGAAATTTAAGGTCTTGTTGCAAATGCAGGACGTGATGTTTTTTGAGAAGAGGGAAACCCTGAGAAAAGACCTAAAGGAAATGCTAGTAAAAAGTAAGATATCTGAAACAAAAGATACGGAGCATTATGGTAGCAGGGAAGAGTGGCAGGAAGCGAAAGATTTAGCTTCACAAAAAACAGAGTTTGGGGAACAAGAAGAAAAAAATTCTAAATTCGCTGAGTGTACTGAAAACTTAATTTTTATAAAGGAGGAAATAGACGAGCCGAATTGTAAATGGGACAAAGCCAAGATGTCCACTAGCAATCAAGGTAAGAAATTATCCCAGAATGAGCCCCAAAGTTACCAAGCCATTGGAGGGATGGCAGAAGCCTCAGATATGAAAGACAACACATGTAGAAATGGCAGTCACCACATACAATTGCCCGACAAAGAGAAGCCAAAGCATAGGGAGGGTGGAGCAGTAAAAACAATGGAAGAAGAAAACCTCCAGATCCTCAGTAACAAAGAGAAGATCATCAAAGCATCAAGAGAAGAAGAAACTCTGATGGATGAAGGAGCCATGCTAACCCTGGCTGCAGACCCTCTGGCATCAGCCACCTTGGAAGTCAGTAAACAGTGGGGTGACATCTTCAACATTTTGAGAGAAAATGGCTTTGAACCTGAGTTTCTGTGTGAGTTCAAATTAGCATTTAAATATGATGGTGAGATGAAGACATTTTCAGACCTGCAAAGTTTACGACAGTTTACCAGCCAAAAACCTGTCATAGGAGAATTACTGAACTGTGTGCTCCGACAGAAGGAAAAACCAAATCTAGGAGGAGGATATGGGATCCCCATAAAAGGGGTAAGCATATTAATGTATAAAGTTATGTGTAAAGTGTAAGTAGGGTCTTGATGAGTTGCTTAGGCCTCAGCTTTTGCTGAGGCTGGCATTGAACTCACATCCTCTTGCCTCAGTCTCCCGAGCTACTGGGATTATAGGCATGTGCCACTGTGCTTGGTTACAAGGTCTTATTGCAATAAACAGACAAGTGATGAAAGTAAGTAGTCATTTAAAATCTGTTATGTACAAAGCATCAGAGATAGGGATATAGAAGGACCAAGGTAGGCATAGACATCATGAAAATTTGTTGCCAGTACTACTAAAGAAGGTATGAATGTTGGAATAATCATAGACAAACTTGCCTTGCTTGGGGATAAGGCCTTCACAAACATGTCATTACTACAAGGCCCTGGGTTTGATCCTCAGCACCACAAAAAAGGAAGAAATGTTGAAGCAGTTCTCCCAGTACTTGCTCATTGTCAAAGTGGTAGTCATATTAAATTTAGAGAGTGAAGTGAAAATTTTAATTCTGTAAGAGCCATACAATTTACAAAACTTTTCTTTTGACTTTCAGGGTAACGCTCTTGTAGATTCAAAACTGGAAGCTGGAGGAACAGCAAGTGATGGCTTGCATTCCTTATTCATCAAAGAGGTGAAATTCACTAGGCCAGAAGTGAAGAGCTTAGAGACTCTGGAGGAAGAGTTTTCAGATAAAGGAATCCCTACCTTTGAGGTGACAGGAGAAGACTCAAAGACCCATGAGGACTTCTTTTATGAGAGGGCAGAAGAGGAAGAAGGGACCTGTGCCATAGAAGAGGAGGGACAAGAGGCTTCGCAGGTGAAATTTGATACCTCTGGGGAAGAAGAGTGGTGAGAGTGTGAGTGATGGGAGGATGAGGAGGAGGGCGGATATTTCCCAATATTACGTGAGAAACACCGTGTTCCTGAGACAACTGTAAGGGTAATGGAGGGAGATTATGAAAAGATTATTACTTTCAATTGGGAATGAAATTCTGACTGAGGAGAAAGGAAGTAGGGTTTTTTAACATGGAAGACTGTTCAAACACACACATCCAAAGTCGCAGACCTAATCCAGGAAACAAAGAAACTATAGAACAATTGTGATCAGAATCTTCAGAGAGATGGAAGAAGAGATTGGAAAAATAAAAAAAAAAATGCCTTCCATATATCTTGGAAACTAACAATTCAATAGATGATCTGAGAAGTAGAATAGACATCCTTGAAGAAAGATTTTGTAATCTAGATGATGAGATGGAAGAATTGTCTAAGGATACCATACAGATGGCCAAGCAGATAATTAATAAAGAAACTCTGAGAGGGAGGATAGATTCAGAAGTGCCAACATCTGTGATAGGAATCCCAGAAAAAGACAGTGAAGAGAATAAAGCAAAGGACATACTGCAGGAAATAATTGAAGAAAATTTTCCAGAGCTTCGCAATTCTAGTCTTTGGATAGTGAGTGCTCACCAGATCCCCAGCGTGACTGACAAAAACAGACTCACTCCTAGGCATATCTTGGTGAAGTTTTTGAATTGTAGTGATAGAGAAAATCCTAAACGCTTCTAGAGAGAAAAAAGAAATCACCTACAGAGGCACAAGAATCCGAGTGACAGCAGACTTATCACTGGGCACCCTGGATGCAAGAAGTCAATGGAGCAACATCATAAAAGTGCTTCAGGAGAAAGGCTTTCACCCTAGAATCCTGTATCCAACCAAATTGGCATTTGATTTCCAGGGTAAAACAAAGATATTTTTTGATATGGAAGAATTTAGGAAGTTTATTTCTTGTATACCCACTTTGAAAGGATTATTGGCGAAAACAACATAGGTAGCTGCAACTGTTGCTTTCCTCACCCCAACATATATTAGAAAATTGACAAATAAAACATCTCTGTCCAGAAAAAAATAAAAAAAGAAAAAAGAAAAGTCACTAATGAAGCAGTGAAGAACATGCCACTCCCAAAGGTGACTCTCTAGCATATTGACTATTTTAAGTTAAAGGTACTTGAAAAGAAGTAGGTGCAAGAATATTGTGACTTATCTTGTTTCTTAAAAGCATAAAATGAAATTTCCATGTGAAATGCATGTATGATTTTGTTGGGATGAACCCAACTACTATTTATAACTACAAAAAAATTTCCATGTGAAAGATGCCCTCCTCCACCAGGAAAAAACCCAAAGATGTCCTCCTATACCAGAAAGAAATTTTCATTCTTAAAATCAAATATGGGGAATTGAGCTGAAGGAAATCTGTACAACCCAACCTTGTTAAACTCACCCATATCTTCCTAGTCATTCTCTACCCAACTAACTCTTCTAGCCTGAGCCCCTTTTCCCTTGTCACAGTTTACTACTCTTCAGTCTATCTCATTGCATAAGCATTTAACTCTCTTTGGGTTTTCATTATCATAATGAAGGCTCCTTTGTCACATAAAGCTTGTATTAAGCAATACCTGTGTTTTTGTCCTGTTAATATTTCTAATGTCTTTTTTTTTTTTTTTTTTGGTGGTGCTGGGGATCGAACCCAGGGCCTTGTGCATGCAAGGCAAGCACTCTACCAACTGAGTTATATTCCCAGACCTTCTAATGTCGATTTAATTCCCAAGTCCAGCTGACAGGAGAGGTAAAATTTTGCCTTCAGAACTTAATGGGAAAGTATAGTGGAGGAGATGGTCTCAGCGGCAATAGCTCCAAGTCACTTGGCTTCTTTCTCCACTTTCTGCCTTTGCTTATATGAAATTCTTGCCTCTTTTCCTTGTAACTCTTCTACTAGAAGATACAGGCTCTGTCTAGTAGAAGAGTATCTTCTAGTAGAAGAGTTACAAGGAAAAGAGGTAAGAATTTAATATAAGCAATTTTAGGTTCTAACAGATGAGGGAGAGCTTCTTAGTTAACAGGTTAAAATCCCAGAATATTATGATTGGCTTTAGTTAAGTCACTTGCTCATCCTTAGACCAATCACTGTGGCCAGAGTAGGAAGGGTTATATGCTTGGCAGCCCCAGGAGTAAGGAAAGTCAGGACTGAGAAACGGTGCTAGACAGACAAAAGCAGATGTCTCCTACAACAATGTACATACTACAACATGGATAAACCTTGAAAGTATTTTGATAAGTGAAAGAAAACAGTCAAAAGACTATCTATTATATGATTCTATTTATATTAAGTGTCCAGAATAGGTTAATTTTAAAGACAGATTAGTGGTTGGCTCCTGCTGGAGCCATTGGGAGTGGTGGCCACACTCCATAGGCACTACTGTGCATATATGCAGCAATGCATAAATAACACGCACGAACATGGGGCCTTTGGGGAGGTTCTGAAGGAGCAGGATCTGGAGGGCTGGTTCCCAGTGTCTCTAGGGCTATTAAGGCAGCAACGTAATCCGCGAACACCGGAGTCGAGGAAAAGTTCCGCACCCACCGGGCGGGGCCAGAAGGAAGCTGTGACCTGAGCGAGCGGCTACGTAACCATCCGGGTGGGGAACCAACTAGACCCTCCAGGCCGACGACAATAGTTATCGACCCCAGCACCGCCCGCGCGGAGAACAAAGCACTGGGCCCTGCCCACCAAGCCTGGAGAGGCCGCGCCCAGGGCGGCCGCCGAGCCCGCCGGGAAATGTAGTGCCTACAGCCGCGCCCGCACCGCGCCGCCGCTCGCCGGCCGGGCGCCGCTCGCAACTACAAGTCCCGTCACGCTCCGCGGGGTCCTGCTTGCTAGGCTTCTGCAGGGAAGTGAGTGCGGCGAACATGGCTGAAGACTGTTCGGGCGTCCCAACGTGCAGTGGGATGGGTGGCCGGCAGGACCCGGTCCCCAGCCCTGGAGGCTGCAATTTCCCAGAGTACGAGCTTCCCGAGCTAAACACGCGCGCTTTCCACGTGGGCGCCTTTGGGGAGCTATGGCGGGGCCGTCTGCGCGGGGCCGGAGACTTGTCGCTAAGGGAGCCTCCGGCATCCTCGCTGCCCGGGAGCAGAGGGTCCGCTGATTCTGACCTGGAGGATTCCGCAGTGGCCCGGGATCTGGGCTGCAGTCTGGAGGCAGCGGCCGAGCTAAGGATGGTTTGCGGGTGAGTGTGGGTCGGGGACTTGGCATCTTGGCCAGGAGGGGTGCAGCTTTGCCCTCACGGTCCCCTGGGACTCGGGCCTGCTGAGGGCCTGTCATTTAGACCCGCGATTAAAGGACCTCCTTGCAAAAGCTTTCAACCCCAGAACCTTCCTGGAACCCTGGGAGAAGTCCCAGGATCCAAATGCATACAGTTTCTGCGAGTTAAGAGTAGAGGAACAACAAGATAGCAACATAAACGACTAATTTTTCTATTCGCCAATTTTAAAGGTCTCATTAATAAAGAAAAGCAGCCCGGGTAACAGCGACCGGTGTCTGCCAGACACTTTGACAGTGGAAGAATCTGAAGTAGTGGTGAGCGTGGAGGGGACTTAATCAGAGGAGTATTAAAACCCTTACTGTGGACTGTTGGGGAACCTCCTTATGCTATTAGTGAAAAATTATCAAAAAGTTCCTTATGTGAGGTGAAAATATAAAAATAACTTGTAATGAGCTCTTTCTTCACAGTACTGATTTCCTTCAATTGGTCTATGTCCTTTTCCTTATAAAATATCTGCATAGAAATTATTACCTTGATTTCCAGCTTCCTTTTAGCTGCCTGCTGGATTTTTCCTGACTTCTTAATTATTCAGTGATGTATTTAGGGGTGTGCTCTTTCTTTCTTTCTTTCTTTCTTTGATACTGGGGATTGAACCTAGGGCCTTGTGCATTCAAGGCAAGCATTCTATCAACCGAGCTATATCCCTAGCCCCCATGCTATTACTATTGACAAGATTTTTTGGTGACTTTTTAAAGTTTTCATTTCCTTCTTTTTGTTTTAGCCTTGATAAACTGAAATGCCTTGAAGAAGGTGAGGATCCAGAAGTTATTCCAGAGAATACTGACCTGGTGACTTTGGGGTATGGGTGACTTTGTTCTTGTCATATATTGTTTATTGTTAATTGTCAAGAATTGAACCCTGGGGCCTGCTAGGCACACAAACTATCACAAAGTTACACCACCAGTCCATGTACTATTCATTTAAACATTTTTTAAAAACAATTATTTTTTAGTTGTAGTTGGACACAATATGTTTATTTTTCTTATTTATTTTTTAGTGGTGCTGAGGGTCAATCCAGGGACTCCTACAGTGCTAGGCGAGTGCTCCACTGCTGAGCCACTACCCCAGCCTAATTTAAACATTTTTTGAACATTGTATTTTGAAAAGTTAATAATTTAAAAAAGTTACTAAGTAATATTATCCATATATCCACTTAATAAATTCAAATATTGTTACCATTTGGCCATATTTGCTTTAGCTGTGTGAATAATGAGGTGCAGCCATATGTCTTTTTCTCTTGCTATACCATTCAATAAGTTGCAAACATTATGATAATTTGCCCCTAAGTACATGAGCATATAGCTCCTATAAGTATCATTCTCGTACATCATCAGGGTCATATTCCTCCTAAGAAAATTAACAATAAATGTATAGCCCCTCATATCCAGCACACTTTCAAATTTATGTTTACTTTGTGTATTTACAAAGGTAGCTAATCTGCTTAGATTTGAGGTGCAGGCTAAATACTGTGAAAGTGGGTCTCAGTATCTGTGGTAGAGAACGAGTTTTTTAATTTTTAATTTTTAATCTTTGACAGATCCATATTTTTGTGAAATACAATTAAAATGAATGTTTTTGTTTTAACGGTACTGGGGATGAAACCCAAGGCCTTATGCATACTAGGCAAGTACTCTACCACTGAGCTACATCCCAGCCCCACAAGACAAAAAAACAAATGTAAGTTCAAATGTTTATTGTTAATGAAATTCAACAGACATAAAGTTACTCTCTGCTTGTAATGAAAGTTTCTAAATGCTTGCTTTTCTTTTCTGTTCAGATTGAATAGAAATATGTCTCAGATCACTTCCATTCTGCCAGCCACATCTTGAGAAGCCTTGCTTTATGATAATGCTATAGAGAAATTGTGTATAATAGTGAAATTTGTAACTGCTAGTTTATGGTCCACTGATCTTATACCGCCTCAGCTATGTTTTGTCATCCTTTATCCTACCTCATTCTGCTATCTCCTCAAATATTTAGGCAGTCATTTCAACTCTGCCTTGGTTTCTTTTGTCAAATCTGTTTCGTTGAAACCCAATACTAGTGTTTGCATTAGTAATGTTTGGAGTACTATGAAAGGCTTCTGTCATCCTAAGTCCCATCATTTTCCCTTCTGATTTATTCACAATTCACTTGAGTATGCTGTTTGTTTAGGAATTGCCAGTGACACACATCTTTTGTGTGAAAAATTTTAAACTTTTTTATCTAGACATTGAAGCTTTTCACAGATAGCCCAAATCCATCTTCCCAGATTTTTTTTTAATTTTTTATTTTGAGACAGTGTCTCACTAAGTTGCTAAAGCTAGCTTTGACTTGTAATCCTCCTTCCTCATCCTCCCAAGCCACTAGAATTGCAGACATGAGCCACCATGTCCAGCCAGATTTATTTTCAACCACTTACTCTTTCACATGGCTTAAGATGCACATGACCTCTTTCCCATCTGAAACCTACTGCATCTTTAAGGCCATATGATTCCTTTGCAGAGCACCACAACCCTTTCCTCCCTTAGGAAATTGGTGTGTCTATATTGCCTTGAATTCTAACATGTCTAAAGTCTTGGGGACTCACATGAAAATGCAGATTCCTTCATCCATGTATTGTCCTAAGTCTGCTGTATTGCCTTGCTCCAGTTGTTCTGTAACTATTGTTGGATTTGTCTAAAATGTACATCTGATTGTGTTATTCTCTGGTTTAAAAACTTCTGATGCCCTTAGGCTAAAGTTCTGAATCCTTAAGTGGCTCACAAAGGCCTCTGTGGAATGGATTTTGCTGATCTTTTCATCTTTATCTCTGTGGTGTTCCAGCTATACAGTGCTGTGTTTCTATTCCTTGGAATGTGCTCTCTCCCTCCAGGAATTTGCGTAGAACAATTACTCTTCCTTACCCTCCTGATCTTGCTGACTTCAACTCATCCTTCAAGCCTTAGCTAAATACTTAGATTGCTTGTATGTTTGTGTAGCACCCCATGCCTCTCTATTGTAGTACTCATCTATACTTTAAAAAAAATTTTTTTTTTTTTAAAGAGAGAGAGAGAGAGGCAGAGAGAGAGGGAGAGAGAGAGAGAACTTTAACATTTTATTTTTCACTTATTGGCGGACACATCTTTGTTTGTACATGGTGCTGAGGATCGAACCCAGGCCGCACGCACACCAGGCGAGCACACTACCGCTTGAGCCACATCCCCAGCCCTTTTAAAATTTTTTGTCTTAGCTATACCTAAAAGTTCCATAAGCAGGTCCAGGGATATAGATCAGTGGAATAGTGTTTGCTTAACCTTCTTGAGGCCCTGGGTTCAGTCCCTAATTCCATAAACTATATCTGTCACACTTATTGCTCTTGTCCTAGATCTGTAGAATCAGTGGAATAAATGAAGCTTTCATATGACTGTGAAAATGATTTTTAGAGATAGACTGAAGAAAAATGGTTGGCGATAATCATAAGCAAAGCAGTATTATGTTTTTACTATTATTAACACATTAATTGACTTAAAAGTATTTTATTAAGCCATGTTAAATAGCAGTGTTAAGACTACTTAACGAATTGATTCCTCTAACTGCTTTCTACTGCTAGGACACATGAGTCTCCTTCATTGTCTTCTAGTCCCTGCAATCTTAGGATATGTGGGTCGAATTATATATATCATCTAATGTAAAAGTTGTCAGTGGAGTACTTAGCTGGGATTGTTTTGACATACTGCAAAACTGTTGTGTTTTAAACTTAGCTAATATTATTATTTTTTTTAAATTTGGTTCTGAGGATTGAATTCAGGAACACTCGACCACTGAACCACATTCCCAGCCTTATTTTGTATTTTTTATTTAGACAATGAGTTGTTTAGTGCCTTGCTTTTGCTAAGGCTGGCTTTGAACTTGAGATCCTCCTATCTCAGCCTCCTGAGCTGCTGGGATTACAGGCATGAGCCATCAAGCCCGGCTAATGTTAATCTTAATAATCCTGTAAAACATTAGACTTATTGCAAAAGCCTAAATTTTTGTCTATTCCTATTTTGTGGTTCTCTTTTTCTTGCAGGACTCTAAAATGTAAAAAAAAAACCTTAAAGTAAGTGAATTTCTGGTGCCTTTTCTTCCCTGCATCTGATGAAAGAACTACTTGACTCAATTTATGCATGTAAGGGAAAAAAATGTAGTTACTAAAGATTTTATTCTTTGATGCATGCTACCCTCCTTAATCCATAACAAGTTAAATAACTATCTCCAGTACTTTTGAAATTTTTTGACCACTTAAAACAGAAGATCTTAATTCTTAGGAATCAAAGAATGAGAATTATTACTACTGTACATTGTGCTATTAAAATTTAGCTGTTTCCCAAAAGTTTCAGACCCTTACTTTTTTTTGGTACTGGAGATTGAACCCAGAGGGGCTTTACCCCTGAACTGTAACCCCGGCCTGTTTTTTATTTTGTGTTTTGAGATGGCATCTCACTTAAGTTGTTGAGGCTGGCCTTGAACTTGTGATCCTACTGCCTCAAGACTTCTGAGCTGCTGGAATTAAAGGCATGCATCACTGCACCCAGCAAACTCCCTTACTTTTAAACAATAATAATTTCTGTTATATTATTTTGCCCATCCCCCTTACTTCTGTAGCCAAAAAAAGCACCATTTACTGATCCAGTATATACTAGAATATATACTGGACCAGTAAAAGGTGAAAAGGAGACATTTTAGAGTCCTGCAAGAAAAAGAGAACCACAAAATTAGAGGCTTTACAATTCTTATCCCATAACCAAAACAATCATGAACAATTTTTAAAAACTAAATTCTTATATATCTGAACTTTGACAGAAAAGAATACTGTTAAATTAGGAATCTTGTAAACTACCACCACAACTCCAAAGTAGCACTAAAACAAACAAGAGAAAATAAAATCCAAAGAGAATTTACTGCAGAAAATCAGGAAACAACTGTTTATTCAGATCAACTTGGGAAACTATTTCCTTTTCCCAGAAAATAACCAGGAAACAGAAGCAAGCTTAGGTCTATACTCAACACAATTGAATATACTCAAGCATTTGAGAGTATAGAAACACCTTGAATTAGAAATTTAAAAACTAAATGGAAGAAAAAATAAACTAAGTGAAAATGATGGTGAAAAGGAGAAATGAAAAAGGGATGTGTAAGAAAGAAATAAAAGAAAAAGGTAGAATTATAAGTGAATAAATTAGGAGATACCCTAGAGAGATACTCAGATGAAAATTTAATGAGAGTCTATGAAGGAAGGCTTGAAAACAACCAAGAGAATTGAAAATTATATAAAGAAAAAAAGTATAATGAGAGAAAGTGTTGAGAATGGAAGACAAGTAAAGATGATGTATTATCAGAGTCCCTGGAAAAGGAAAATAAAGCAGTGGAACAGAATTAATGTTTAAAAATAGAATCTAAGAAAAATTTCCATAAGGGAAACAAAAGCTAAAATTTACAAAGTGAAAGGCTCACTGCGTATGTGGGAAAATTAACCCAGAATTATCAACTTGGAAATATAGCTTAGTAAAACTGCCATATTTATCAGAGATAAATATAAAATCAGCAAGCCTTCTAGGCAAAGCAGAAGATAACCTACAAAGGCAAACTTACAAAAAGCAGAAGATGTTTCGGAGCTAACATAAAAAGCAAGAAGACAATGTAGCATTATTTTTTAGGAATTTATTTATTTTCAGAATTTTATTTATTTTTGTTTGGTTTGTGATGCTAGGGATTTAATCCCAGGGCCTTGCATATGCTAGCTGAGTACTCTGCCACTGAACTACGCCCCCAGCCATTGAACTAAGGACTTTATATTCA